CTCAGCCTTCTCTTCTTCAGGCTAAACATGCCCAGCTCTTTAAGCCACTCCTCATAGGGCTTGTTCTCCATTCACTGGATCATTTTAGTCAGATCTGTATGTGCAGATCTGTATTGGATTAAACCATTGTTGTCATTGCTGGATTTTGGCGCGTAATATTATTTAGGGCAGTTTGGATGGTCTTGAAGTCTTTTGTCCTTTGAAGCACAAAATTGTGCCCTTTTAACTGAGAGATGACCTGGAAGGGAATGGAAAGGGAGGGCCATGTCTTCAATGTCCCAAGTAATTTTCCAGATGATTAGTTGGAGCAACTTTTGTATAAATCAGTAACATTTGCCTTTCATTTCCTAATCCCAGGTTTAATGTAGACAGCTCAAATGTAAAGTGAGATTGACGTATCAATATACATACATATACATACACCTAAGTGATCCAAGCTGAGGAAAGACATTTTGAATCCGATGAAGAGCAAGAGATGACAGGAGAGAAGGCCAGGTGGTTCAAATTAGGAAAGCGGTGGTCAGAAAAGAGACAAATGTCCTCTTTCTCTCTCTTCAGGTGACGATATAGGGTGTTGGAAGCAGATGAAGATACCTCAGCAGGTAGAGTCACCACCAGCAGAAGCATCTCAGTGGAGTTTGCCTATGGCATCCAACATCCATAAGATGAGATATCAGCTCAGAGGTCAGGAGTCAAAGATGTTAGAGGAGACAGAAAGGAAACACACCAAAAGCCTTATAGGTACTGATAACATGGGGAATGCCTTGTTCTCCAAGTATAGGAGAAAATACCACAATGTGTTAGATGCGTTTTCTGATCTAAACCCAAGAAAGAAAGAAACCGATTGTCCTGAAGATGGAGAAAGAAGCAAGAGCCACGGACAGTCATTACAGAGATCCCAAAATGTTCCTACAGAAAGGAAACTCCATAAATGTGCTACTTGTGAGAATGGTTTCAAATTTAGAGCACACCTGGCAAGCCACCAGATAAGTCACACTGGACAAAAGCCATACCAATGTTCTCAGTGCGAGAAATGTTTCAGCCGGAAAGGTAAGCTGGTGAGACACCAGAAAAGCCATACTGGGGTGAAACCCTATAACTGCTCTCAGTGTGGCAAGTGCTTTACTCAGTGTTCTAGCTTAAAGACGCACCAAATACTTCATACTGGAGAGAAACCTTATAAATGCTTTCAGTGTGGCAAGTGTTTCACTCTGAAAGGCAGCTTGAAGAGCCATCAAAGAATTCACACTGGAGAGAAACCTTATGAATGTTCTCAATGTGGGAAATGCTTCCGACAGGGCTCACATTTGATTGTCCACCGGAGAATCCACACCAGAAAGAAA